ATCGCCTTATTATTTTTTAAACATTCTTGTACAATGGGATTAGGAGAAATCAGTGTAAAAAAATAATAGAGTTAAAAACGTCGGGATAAAAGTTGATGAGTATTAAAAGATCACCAAAAAGTTATTCCGACTTATTATTTGGTTATTTCACTCCATATTTAATCGGATTTGATTGTGTTTAAGATGTCGGTTCAATTTATTGTGTTTCCGACATCCATGGACTTTAGTCCAGACGAGTCGTGATAGACCCGATTTTATAGTCATCTTCAGGACTCAGAAGTGATATTTATTGTCAGCTCATCAAATCAACGTCGGGATTTGAAGTCTTTGAGCATAAGCCTCCCCAAGCCATCTTCAGGGCTTAGAAGTATCCGACTTTGTCGCTTTTGGCTAGGTCAAACCAACTTCAGGGTCTGAACAAGTCTAACCTTAGCAACGAGGACCGATTTTCCGAGGGTCCAGTGATCGAACAATTTATTAAGATTCGTCACATAATCTTTATTGACAACAAAAGTGGCTTTGTACACGGATCTTCAAAAGAGTTCCTTTGTACACCAAGCTTGCAAGATGAGGATTCCATGATAGCTTTACTGGAAGTTTTTCTTAAAAAATGTCGCGTTCCAAGGGTACTGGAGGGGAATACCATCCGAGTTTTTGAGTCCAGTGATCGAACAATTTATTAAGATTCGTCACATAATCTTTATTGACAACAAAAGTGGCTTTGTACACGGATCTTTAAAAGAGTTCCTTTGTACACCAAGCTTGCAAGATGAGGATTCCATGATAGCTTTACTGGAAGTTTTTCTTAAAAAATGTCGCGTTCCAAGGGTACTGGAGGGGAATACCATCCGAGTTTTTGAGTCGGTAAGTGCCATTAGAGATGACGCAATTTATTTTAAAGGGTCCTTTCCATCTCGGTTGCAGTGGTCTGACGTTGGCCCCAGTGATTCTTTTCAGAACGAGGTCACCCACATCAAAAGATCGTGGCTTAAACCTTGCATTGATGTATTTCTCACTGCGTCGTTTATATGCGGCATTTCGGATTTAAGCTTTCGTCCGTAGCTCGTCGATCAAGTTGAGGTTGGCCTTCACGTTATTGTAATTTTCTTCTTCCGAAAAATGGGTAACAAGATAAACGAACGTAATCGACAAAGAAAAAGCTCAATTTTTCCCTGTATTTTTCAAAATCGCGACCGAAGCAGAGGGAACTTTGTCTGGGAAAAAAAGAAAGAATGCAAATTATTGGTGTCCAATGAATTTGGCAAATTATTCTGGAGAAAGAATGCAAATTATCGTTGTACAATGAAGTGTACGGATAACGAAAAGACAATGAAAAAATGAAGAACAAAAATCAGATTAATAAATTAATGGGAGAAGCGAAAAACCAGAGGACGATAAACGAAAGTTGGACATATACACGTGCGAAGCAGACACGCATCGTTGGACATGCGAAACCAGACAATGAATCCACGTCATAACCTGCAAACCAAAGATACAATTAGCACAAGGATGAAACCGTAGCAAAATAGATTCAACTCGTCGTTCAATTTCAAAACAATCCAATCGAAAACAGATGCAATCCACCCTACACGAACCCTTAAACGAAAATTACGTCAAGAAAAAAAAATCACTGAACCCCTATCGATTTCTCCGCAAATACAAATAAAAAGCATAGAAAATTAAATCGGAGAGAGAAAAGAGAGGCGCAGACAAATTGTGAAACTCATGGCCGCGAGAAATGTCGACGATTTCTAGACGACGTCGAAAAAATAGGGAGAAAGGTAGGAAGAGAGAGAGATAATTCAGGCGTGTTTAGGGAAAAAATTAGAGGAGTAATTTACTGTCTAGATTCTTCTTTCTTAATAAATAAATTTTAAAAGAAAAAAAGAATATAAAAAGAATGAGGAAAAGAAGAAGGCAAAAGAAGCTAATGAAGTGAGCCACGTGTCGCATTTAAAGTGACTAATATTTTCTTATAAGTTATTAAGGTAGATATATATATTCCGAAACGATAGGGGTATTATATAATCAAAACGCACAACTGTGCAAAAAAGCAGCACATGGCTGAATAAAACAACCAGGAACTAGAAACTGGGAGGACGGACCGAAAGACCGCCTAGAGCCTCGCTAGCCATGCTAGAATAGAAAACACACTACATACAACTTAAAAACATCAATACACCAACTACGAACGCTCCCCACAGGAGAATAGAAACGCCCCCACAGGGGAATCAGTACCGGGCCAACGGCCTAATCCTAAAAACAAGACCAAAAATATCACAAACACAAAGACAATCACAAAACTAACACAGACAAAAAAAA